GATCTGTGAAATCAACTATCTTGCATTTTCAAGTAAGATGAGGCTTTGAAATGCTTCAATTGACTTGTTGGTTTTGAATTCACTTCTAATATTAGGTGCAAGTGGGATTTTAGCTTGTCTACATACAATTTCTATAAATTTATTTCATGAATTACTTTTGGCTTTAACTGATGATTTATTTGCACACTATTTGGTGAAATAGACTTGAATATTGGACTTCTTTTGATATCAATTTAGATTATAGTATGTTGGGATTTTGGTCTTTGAAGAGTATCATGAACATAATGTGCTTATTCTTTTGATGGAAGCATCTATGTGTTGGATTAGACCTTTTTCTTATTCATCATTATGTCTGACATTGCAGTTGAGGAACTTGGTCTGGTCTACGTCAAAGCATGATGTTTACCTCATGTCACATTACTCAATTATTCACTGGTCTTCATTAAGTTCCAAGAAGACAGAAGTTCTTAATGTTTATGGCCATGTGGCCCCATGTGAGGTGCATATTTCTTATGAGGATTGGCTTTCAGTCATTTAGGTTCATGAGTTTTATGGTTCTTCTCTGGCAATGATAATATATGGAGTTAAAATGTGGATATACTTTCTTTTTCTGACAGAAACACCCAGAAAGTTTACTGGAGGGATTTACTCAGACTCAAGTTAGTACTCTGACGGTGCCCAACAATTTATTAATTGCTGGGGGATTTCAAGGGGAGCTTATTTGCAAGGTAATTCTATCTTTTGAAGAATACTGCCGTTTGTGGAAATATCTAAGCTTTTTTTTATTTGTTTCAACCTTAGCTTTTGTTGTTAGTTTCTTCGAATAGGTGTTTATGAGATCAGCTAGAAATGCCTCCATATGCAGTTGTTGATGAGGTAAGTTTGACTGATTGAATGAGTTGTTGAACAAGTTTTCTTAAGATTTCATTATTTTACTTTCCACCGATAATTATGAGGACTTTCAAATGATTCATAATAATGATGCTCGAATTTATATCCTAGCATCAGTTTCCCCTAAGCCAGAGATACATGACTTTTTGAATTAATTGATCTGCTAATTTTTTTCCATGTTACGAGGACTTCCAATATCATTTTCCTTTTCCATCACTTTTCTTTTTCTATAGATAGGGGTTTTCTAAAGTACTACTGTCAGTTGACAGAACAAGGTACTGGATTAAACTAACTCCTTCATGCACTTTTCACATTTTCCCTTGTTCGTAATGCATTTCGCACCAATTTATTTTTAATTATTTTGATTTTTGGCTTTTGGTGATTTTAGGCAAGAATATTGGGATTGCAATTGAGGAAGAAAAGCTCGGAAGAAGAGAATGACCAACTAACAAAAAATGAGGTAATCATGATTGATTTGTTGTTTGCTCAGATGAGACTTCATTGTTCAAAGGCTGTAGCTTGTTGACAATTGTTTCGTTGATTGTTTTGATGTAGTAATTTAATTGGTATTTTGATGGTTTTTATTGTTTTATAAACTATTTTAGTGTTTGTTGAAGTGGTCATCTCTCAGTACTTCTTAATTTTTCTACATTTACAAGATTTATACACATCATTTAGAATCTGAATTAAGTGTGTTTTGGCATTAGTGATTGATGGAAGGATTTGATTTTTTGGGTTTTATTGATTTTTCCGGTTACAAATTTTGTTGATTTTTTGGGTTTTATTGTTTTCAAAAACCTGGAAAAAAACATATTTCAAATGAGGCGCACGCATCATTTTTTTTTTGCCTCAGATGTAGAGGCGTGCGCTTCATTTTTTTCGCTTCACAGATTGAGCCTCGAGGCACAGAAGCTACGCCTCACTGAGGCGCGCCTCAGCAGCGTTTTTTCATACCATGATTATAGAAACAAAGTTCCCTTAAGACAGGCCCCCACAGTTGATTGATATTAGAAAAGAGGTGTTTCATTTGGACTTTATAATGAGGTTTTTTTTTTGGTATATATTATCTACTATAACACTTCCTAATTTTCTTTATGCCTGCTCAGATATTGATGAAAAATTTTAAATTTTAAGAAGTTGCTGCCCAGGAATCTAGGCATGGGAAGACACTGAGGTAAGTTTGTTTACACAATCTATTTATTGGTTTTTAATGTACAAAATATGATTCATGTGCATTGATACTCGCTAAATATTCTAAAACTTCACTATCAAGCATTTACCCATATGAATGAAAAACATTGCCAGACAGCTAGGGGATCTACTAATATTTGTATGTGTTCCCGACTAAATCTATACATTCCACCATATTGTCGTTTCACTTGAATACTGCATGGCAGACATCTGTTGCAGTAAAAAGTTAATTTACGTGGTGTTTGGCCCCCATTTTTTGGGAAGAATTAGTTTTTGAATAGTGATTGATGGGAGAATGTGTGGTGGAAAAGTGATGAAAATTTTTAGATTTGTGTGTAATATTATTTTATTTGGAGAATGTGGTTGAAAATGAATACTGTAGAAAAATGAATGGGAAAAAAAGAGAGAGAATGGGGCTCAAACATGGGTTAAGCGGCACCAGTATTTGTGGTATAATTGAAGCTTCTCATTGTCACTCATCTCTCTTTCTTTTAATTTTTACTTCCAATTGTTTCTTTTAATCGTGCAGCCTTTTTTCCCTGATGATAGCGAGTTTAGTGTTATTTCCTTTTTAACGAATATGCTTTAACATTCTTTCTATTATCTGCTGCAGAATAGATGAAATGATGTCTTTATAAAGAGGCCATAGAGGGTTGTATTTGTTAGCAAAATGGACCAAGCTGGGGGTATTTTAGAAAGCTCAACACAGTTAGTTACCTAAGAGTGAATTTAATGAAATGATCAATACCTGTTGCTGGGAAAAAAAATGTATCTTTTGACTTTTCGCTTTTAGCTGGAAGAGTTTGTCCTCAAACATAAAGAGTCCATTGATTTACTTAGATTCAAGTTTCATTTAATTTTGATAGGAATCTACTAATTTATTTAATTCTCACTTTTATATAGGTCATGGATAGATCATTTCCTTCTAACTCAATCGATACAAAGATGTATACTTTAAGGACAGTAGGAAGTACGGGTTGCCAAATTGCTAGAATGTCAAATTATGCTCACGGAATAATTTAGATGTTTAGTTTATCCTTTTAGTAGAACTCTTGAAGTACAATCCAGTTCTTAAATAAAGCACGATCTCTACAGATTACAACTCGAACATATGATAAACTTAGTTGTTCACATTGTGAACATTATATAACTAATTTAAATGTATAAGATTTTATAAAACACGTTACAACAAAATGTCTTACAAAATTCAAACAGTCATCGTGCAACGCACGATCCACCACTAGTGTTATTATAAAAGCGAAAGATTGTGTCTTTCCACTCAAATTTAAAAGGAAGTTATCCTTACAAAAATTTAAAACAATTGTTTAACTCTTTGAATGAATAGATGCCGACGATTATATATATGTTTTTCTTGTATATCTGAAATGCCAACCATTGTGTTTCTTCATGCTATAACTGTTATTTGTTATTGTCAACGGCTGCGTATTTTCATTTTAAATGAGTTGGTTATGTTTGGGAAAGCTGATGAACTTTCACTACACTGTTTCATGAATAAATGTCTATTCAATTCAAAAAGATACGTTAGAAATTGCAACTAATAGCATTTAAAATAAAATAGGGAGAAACTTGTGTCTTTTCTTGATATGATAATATATATGCATATTTGTAATTGAATATAAATGGTGCAACTCTTGATCTCAATATGTTTCTTATATATGGAAGTGCATGTGCTTCCACGAGACATTGACATTCCTAGCCATAGTATATGTTGACTATAGATGGGATAAACTTATACAAATGATTGTATAAGTTTTCAAAATAAAGCACATTCATTGCTATTCCTTCTTTACTTTGATTGTGATGAACTTCTGTTTTCGTTACAGAAATGAATATCATTGAGATTAATTCGAGTCAAACAACGAATGGATAGAAATGAGAAAATTACTCCTAACCATTGGACATGTATAAATGTTTGGAACCAATCAAGTTGGTATATGCTTTAAAAGCATTTCGAGCCCTAAATTGTGTTTGGGTCTATGTGTTGAATTTGGTCAACTTGTATGATCCAATTAAACATAGTTGATTTAAGTGCATTATAAAATGTAATCCAATTGAAAATGTCTTTTCATTTGTATTATTTGTGAATCGGCAACCCTAATTGGAAATTAATTGAACTTTCACGAAGCACTTGATATGGACGTTGTCTAGTTGATGAATGAAAGGAATTTTAAGAGTTGATGAACTCTAAGTTCAAGTGTAACCCAAAATTGTGGGGGGTTATCATTAATGTTTGAGAACTCACATAAAAAGTTCAAGACTTGTGGATGCAACTAATTTGCACATGCTTTCTTAATTGAGGAATTGTATGGGGGTATCTTATTCTACAATTTACATTCCTTATACCTTATAAATCATTGAGAACATAGCAAAATCAACACATCAAATAAAAGCACAAGAATCTCAATTTAAAGAAATAAAGGATCCCAATTGGTTACATTGTTCGCCCTAAATTAGATTTAACTACTCATGGGAATGAAAGAAAAATACAAAGTTATTATAGAGTACATCACCAGGTTTAGAAGAATAATGTAGAAAAAAAATCCAATCTTGCACCAAGATCTTCTTCCAACTCACATTGATGCTTCAAAACGTGGTTTGCGCGATGTTTTCCTCCTTTGAATTCCGCCTTTGAATCTCCAATTGTATATACTTTCCCTCCCAATGAGTAGAATAAATCCTTTTGATGTATTCTTCCTTGAATTCCTTCCCAAATCTTCAAAGTTCCATGTGTTTGTATTGTTTGGAACTAAGGTGGGAACTCCCCCTTTTCCAAGCCTCCTTAGGTCTATTTATACTTTCATATCCGTTCTTGGCCAATTTGGAGTCTTTTTGTGGAGTTTTCGCGGCCCAAACAATAAAAACCTAAAATCTGTGGCGGCGCGCGGCGCTTGAGCGCTATGGGACAGCGCTTGAGCGCTGAAAATCTGTTAAAAATCCATTTTCTGGCTAGTTCAGCGCTTGAGCGCTGAGTGTGTAGCGCTCGGGTGCCAAGTTTCTGTCCACTTTGCGTCTGTTTCAGTAATTTTGTCATAACTTTTCCGTCCGATGTCCGATTGAGATGATTCAAGTTGCGTTAGAAAGATAACTCGAAGGACTACAACTTTGATAGAAATAGCTCTTCTTCAATTCGAACTTTATCTAGGCCAAAAATGCGTCTCAATCTCCAACTAAAATTTAGACATCCTTGTGCGGTTGGAAATTGATTTGTTTTCACTCCTTTTGATCTTTCGTTGCATCCATTTGACCTCTAGCATTCTTGAATCTTCATCGTGAGCTTCGACACAACTTTTGTGTATTTGCACTTTAACCCTCAAGCTTTGGATCTTTCCACTTTTTCGCCAATTTTTGCATTCTTTTCTCCAATTCTTCATCATCCATCGAGTTTCACCTAATAACACATTATATTATAAATTAGGCTATAATCCCATTAAAAGAACCACAAAATGTCATAATTTGGAGCCCGAATAAGTGTATAAAATACACTTATCAATCATAGAAGATTTTCATTGAAGGAGGAAAGGTAGGAAACTCTTATACTATTTTTAGAAGTTTAAGGATGTTTCACAAACTTGATGTACTACAAGTCAAAAGTGGATAAATGGGATGAAAGTCGATTATTAAATTTGTATTGGATATGTAATAATAATCGTTGGTTGAACTACATTGTAGTTGATATTGGTTCAATTGTAAATTGAATACCACTAGTAAAAATGTTTGGCTAGGACAAATGATATGTTAAAAATCATCAAACCATATTGGAAGATGATATATGTTTAGATAAAGCTACTGAGAAGCATGTGGTTTCATGAGAGAATTTCTTAGTTTTTAACAATTGTATCTATTAAATGAATCGATTATGATAGTGAGACGCATGTGGCTTCATGAGGGGATTTCTTAGTTGGCAACAATTGTGTCTACTAAATAAATCGATTACGATAGCTAGCCATTTTAATGAGATACGAAGTCACTTGTAATGATAAGACTAGACATATGTTATAGACATAATACCACAAGCAGTTGATCTCAGATGGTGTAAACTCGTGGATCCATTAAAAAGGTTTATCGTGAGATCAAGTATATTGTATATGGAAGGGAATGAGGTTAAAGCTTACTGCGTTAGAGTCTTTGTAATGGTAATCCAACTTTGTTGACTGGAGATCTCAAGATCTTGGTTTAATTGAACAAATAAGTTATGAAGATTCCATGAAGCACTAATTCCTACTCATTTATATGATAATCAAAGTATTTTCTGCAGAATGTTAAAATATTAAGTTACATTTTTAATGATTCTTATAACTTGATTAAGTCAAGTGGAGTATGGTATAATACTTACAATAGGAGGTTACATATGTAAGTGTGAATTGAAGCCGTTTCTATGAGAATTACTTGAGGCTGAAATTTTCTAAAATACTTATGAAACCCAAGAGTGGTTTATGACAAAAATGAACTCAATCATGATAACCGAAACTGTTTAGAGAAGACATTGTGTGAGTACCATTGTGTTGGTTTACATCAATGGTTGAATGGTTCAAGACATTGCATTCACCAAGATGCCAAATAAATCTAATTATATTTCACCGAGGAAGGTTCAAGGCCAGAAACAACCTTTCTTGATACGATGTTTCTCTACTTATCTCCCTACTAATGTTTGTATTATCATTTGCATCTCTGATAGTTCCATTTATGTGAGTGGTTGTTGAAATTTGGTTTAAAGTTGGTTAAATTTGGTTAAGTAAAACCATAAAAAAGTGACTTTGTGTCAATTTCGGACAAATATTCGGACATGATCCGATAGTCAAAGTACAAAAGTAAATAGACTAACTTGTTCTACTTATCAAGTAAATGATCGTAATATATTGAGAATCTCAAAATCAATTCCGAATGAATGAGAAATTGTTGTCAAATGATAGAAGGAAATCGGGAATTCAGCATATATGGTGCCACTCAAGCGACAGCCAGGCGAGCACTAGGCCACTACTTTGGGCCCTGGAGTAGAACAGTTTGCGCTAGGTGAGCATTGTGAAGTGAATCGATCTTTCATGAAAAATGTTGAGTTTTGTAGCGGGTCATTCTGACCTCAACCCCTCATCCTTTATAAATTGGACCCTCTCATTTCTTTAAATCATTTCATATCATTATTCTTGATTGAATTGTATCAAAACTCTCGAGAATTCATAGTTTTCTTGCATAATATCCATGTTCTTGATAGAGAGAAAATTTCGTTTCAAGTTCGTTGGTCTAATAATTTGGAGTGCTTCTATTGAGAAACGTGGTCGTTACATCTTGGAAGACGATTGCTGAAAATCGTTAGCACTGATGTAGGGCAAATTCGTCTTAAGGAGAAAGTGTCAAACACTTGCATCGACCAATTCTCTCTTTTGCATTTCTATTTTCTGATTTCTTTTATATTGTGTTTGGATTTCAAAAAAGGTTAACTTCTTTTCTTTGTTTATTTGAAAGGTTTGGATTGAAAAGTGAAATGTCTTTCATTGAAGAATGAAAAGTCTTGAAGTCGAAACTTTGTTAATTTTCATGCGTATGTAAAGATATGTTGTAGAATGAATTATGTACTTATATCGATATAATTCCCCAAAAATCACGACAAGAAGCATGAGCA